GAAAACTCATTTATACTTACATATGATGTGATGTTTTAGAAATTTGAATAACAGTTAATTCATGTGTGATGTTTCTTTTTTTTTTTTTTTTTTGTGGAACCGGGGATTGAGCTCAGGCCCTTGCGCTTGCCAGGGAAGCGCTTATTCCACTGAGACATCTCCCTGGCCCCTGTGATATGTTTCTTGGTGTATGATAATTGACAGTACTATAAAATGTTTATATTACATTTCTCTTACCTGCTATAAACTGTATAATTTAAAGAAATAATGAGCTAGTTTGTTAAATGAATCCAAGTATTAGCTAAAGAAGAGTTATAAACTAAATGAATAATTGTGTATGTGGGGCCGGCCAAATAACGCAGCAGATTAAAGCATCTGCAAGCAGGGGCAGGGGCCAAGTATCAATCCCTGGGCCTGCCATGCTGGCCCCGCCCCCCTAGGCATGTGGAGACTTTGAGACTGGGTGTGGTGGCATGCATGTGTAATCCCAGCTCTTAGGCTGTAAACAGGCGGATCACTATGAGTCCAATCTAGTAGTGAGACCCTGAACATCCTATAGACCCTTCCCTAAAATAGAAAAAAAAAAATTGTGTATGTGGGGCTTACTGCCAAGAAAAAAAACTAGGAGTTAAATTCACCATTGGGATTCGGTGATGGTGAATAGAAGAGTTGTTAACTAAGAAATTTAACACAAAACCTGTTTGTTTTTGTTTTTTTTTTTGAGATAAGGACTCTATATTTTAATTGTATTGTAGTCTTGGACAATGTAAACATCTCCATGAAGATTACTGTGTGATTCATTATAGCACGGTTTTTCCATTTGATAAATTCTGGGTAAAACCAGTGACTTGTTCCCTATATGCCACCAGTAATTCTTTTAAGAAGCTGTTTTTCTCTTAGCTAACAAATGTATATCTGAGCTAGATTCTTTTTGTAGTCTTTAAATCATTGCTGTATTTTCTTCACAAAACCAGAAGCTTACTATAATTCACAACACTCTTTGATAGTGTGAAGATAACCAGAAAACAAAAACACGCTGGGCATAGTGGCGCATGCTTGTAATGCCAGTGCTCAGGAGCTTGAGGCAGGATATCACCAAAAGTTAAAGGCCAGCCTAAATCAAAGTGAAACCCCATCTCAAGAAAAACTGGGGGGCTGGTGAGATGGCTCAGTGGTCTAAAGCACCTACTTAGAACAAGCTAAGCTAAGCAAAACACAGGGACCGCGGTTCAATCCCCAGCACCACATGCCCGGCAGCCCCGCCCCCTGGTGGGCTGAGCTGGCCACACACACACACACACACACACACACACACACACACAATAAATAAATAAATATTAAAAAAAAAAAAAAGAAAAACTGGAAAAAAGACAATCTTCTGCTTTTGGTTATTCATATTATTATATACAGTATTTGTGAAAAGTTTAAATTCAGGTTTAACAGTTTTACAGCAGAGGGAATTTTTTAAAACAAAAGGACAAAACAGTCTCAATTTGTAAGTCAGTAAAAGGAACAAAAGAGCAAATTTACAATCTGGAGTATGTAGCTCTGGTACTTTTGAAATTAAACATAAAGGACTGGGGAGATAGCTCAGTAAAATAAGCGCAAGGTCCTGACTTCAATTCCCGGTACTGCAAAAAAAAAAAAAAATGTAAAGGCAAGGCCACAAACATGAAAACAAATCATAAAATTTAGGGAGTAAATCTTTTTCCCCGCCCTTACTGGTTCCCAAAAATAGCACTGCCAGTCATAAACTCCAGCAAAGGAATCTGACTTACTCAGAAGAAAACTAAAAATACATGGTTATGCAAGATTATCCTACCACATAGAATGTAGTTGAGAAGTTGTCTATGTTCCTTTCATCCTTTTAGCACACTAAAAGCTTGCAAATAGCTTTTAGTGTGCTACTTACAGTAAGAACAGATAAGTAATCCTTAAGCATTTGAAGAGAGCATGTAGTATAAAGACTCCAAACTTGTAATCATATTTATACTGAAGAACCTCTAAAGCGTTCTTTAGATGTATGTAAAGAAAATATCACAGGGCTGGGGAGATGGCTCAGTAGAATAAGCGCTTGCCTGGCAAGCACAAGGGCCTGAGTTCAACTCCAGTTCCACTAAAAAAGAAAGAAAAACATCACCGAATGTGATAATGGTCATATTGGAGAATGCTTTGTGTTTAAATGCATAGATAATTACTGTGCTCGTTTTATTTTAAAATTTAGGAATACATTCACCAAAGTGATTAACTTTTGGAAACAAAACTAAGGCAAGTTGGGCTGGTGAGATGGCTCAGTGGTCTAAAGCACCTACTCAGAACAAGCTTAGCAAAGCACAGGGACTGCGGTTCAATCCCCCAGCACCACATGCCAGCCAGCCCCGCCCCCTGGTGGGCTGAGCTGGCCACACACACACACACACACACACACACACAAATAAATAAATACTAAGGAAAGTTGATCTGTTTTCTACTCTGTTTTGTCTTTTTGATTTTTTTATTCTTTTATTTTTTATTTTTTTGGAAGGGTCTACAGGGTGTTTAGGGTCTCACTACTAGATTGGACTCGTAGTGATCCGCCTGTTTACAACCTCCCAAGAGCTGGAATTACAGGCATGCACCACCACTCCCAGTCTGCTGACTCAGTGTGCCCCAGGGGTGGGGCCAGCACGGCAGGCCTGGGGATCAAACCCCAGCCCATGCGCCAGCTTGCAGGCACTTTAATCCACCAAGCTATTTGGCCAGCCCTTATTTTGTCTTTTTGAGACAGGGTCTCACTAAACTGTTCAGGCTGGCTTTGAGCTTACTTTGTAGCTCAGGCTAGTCTCGAAGTCACAGCAATCCTCCTGCTTCAGCCTTCGAAGTGCTGGGATTTTATGTTCTTCTAAAATTGCATAGTGTTACACTTAAAATCAGAAAAAATTGTCAGGGATGTACTTCAGTGGAACAAGCCCCTGCCTGAGAAGCGCAGATCCTGAGTACTGTTTCTGGTGCCAAAGACATAAATCAGAAGAAGTGTTCTTGAAAGGGAATGCTTCAGCATAAAAATTCACAAATATAAAATGTCTGGTAATTATTTTTCTGATATTCCATAGTGATTAATTAAGGGCATGCCTTCAATTCATAATTGCAGAGTGAAATCCACATGTCTGAAGAAGCTATACAGGATATCTTGGAACAAACAGAATCAGACCCAGCATTTCAAGCGCTGTTTGATTTGTTTGACTATGGTGAGTTCCCTGGTTTCGTCAAGACAGTTACAACAAAATGGTTTTCCAGTCTCTTCAGTAACTTAACCAGAATGAAGCAGCATTACCTAGAACATTTGAAATAGGTGCCGTTTCATTAAACCAAGCATTTATGGATATTTAAAGGAGTTTTTTATTTTATTACTTTTACTTGAACATCAGCTATAAAAATAGAGAACAACATGGGGATTTTTTGTTTTTTGTTGGCATTCTGGACAATGAAATTTGTTGAGGCCTATTATAAGACATAAACACAATTGAATAATGTACTACACTTGATGTTAGCCAAAAGGCTGAGAAGTAACACACTTGAATGATATAAAAGGAATACAATATAATCGCAATTTATCATAGTCCTATGTTCTAGTACAGTGGTTCTCTAAGTGAGTAGTAGCCGCATTATCTGAGAGTGTGCTAAATATGGGAAATTCCTGGGCCATCTAGAAGATCCTCCTACAGGCTCAGGTTTAAGAACCACGAGTGCTAGTCAGGCCCTATGATGTGCACAGCTGCAGACCAAGGCAGAATTGCTAGAGCTCCAGGTGTGAGTCTAGCCTGGGTGGCATAAGTGAGACTCTTTCAAGAAAGTGTTCTCTGAGGTAGGAGAATCCTTGGGAGTTTGAGACCAGCCTGGGCTACAGAGTGAGTTCAGGGGGCCGGTGAGATAGCTCAGTGGACTAAGTACCTGCTTAGGCAAGCGCAGAGACCAAGAACCCCTCTGGTGGGAAAATCATTCATTCACACTTACAAATGACATACTGGGCCGGCCAAATAGCTCAGCAGATGAAAGCGCCTACAAGCAGGCTCAGGGGCCAGGAGTTCGATCCCAGGGCCTGCTGTGCCAGCCCCACCCCCGGGTGCACTGAGACAGCAATTGAGACAGCATGATGGCGCACACCTGGGTGTGGTGGCGCATGCCTATAATCCCAGCACTTGGTACGCTGTAAACAGGATCACTAGGAGTCCAGTCTAGCAGTGAGACCCTGAACACCCTGCAGACCCTTCCCTAAAAAATAGCAAAAAAAAAAACATAGGTATACATATATATATGACATACTAAACAGCATATTAAGAGCATCCAGCAAGCCATAATTAAAACCAAAGTTTGACATTTGACCACTGTCAAGTAGTAGTCATTCATGCTTGTTTCTGTTTATTTCCCTGTTCTCTTTTTAACAGGTAAAACAAAGAACAGTAAAAATATATCACAAAGCATTTCTAATCAGCATATAGTCTTACCTGAAGAAACAAATCTGGTGGTTAAAAGTACTTTCGAAATACAGGAATCTGGTAAGAATTTGATTTTGTTGTCATTAATAAAAATGTTGGGGGCTGGAGAGATGGCTCAGTGGTCTAAAGCACCTACTTGGAACAAGCTTGGCAAAGCACAGGGACTGCGGTTCGATCCCCCAGCACCACATGCCAGCCAGCCCCGCCCCCTGGTGGGCTGAGCTGGCCACACACACAAAAAAAATAAATAAAATAAATTTAATAAATAAATAAATAAATAAAAATAAAAATGTTAGTAAGGCCAGGCATAGTGCTGCACACCTGTAATCCCAGCATTTGAGAGGATGCGGCAAGAGGATCATTGCAGGTTTGAGACCAACCTTGGCCACATAGTGAGGTCAAAGCCAGCCTGAACTGTGTAGTGAGGCCCTGTCTCAAAAAGGGGGGAGGTTAATTGTGTCAATTAAAAGGCATAAAATACAGGACTGGGGAGATAGCTCAGTAGAATAAGCACCTGCCTGGCAAGTGCAGTGTCCTGAGTTCAATCCCCGGTACTGAAAAAAAATAAATAAAACGGCATAAAATATTGTTTTAATTTGAAGTTCAAATCACTACATGGATCAGTTGTGTATTTCTAGTTTTCTTTCAGTTAAGATTACTTCCAAGTTTTAATACTTTGAATTCTTAGTGCTCTTTGTAATGCTGTGTATAGATCTGTAGGGTTCATATGTAATATCATTCAGCCTAGTGAATTTAGCTTACAGAGCATATCTATTTCATTTTTTTATTTTATTTTTTATTTTTTTTGGCGGAACCGGGGATTGAACTCAGGCCCTTGCGCTTACCAGGGAAGCGCTTATTCCAATGAGCCATCTCCCCAGCCCCATATCTATTTCATTTGTGCAGGGCAAATTATGTAGTATAGTGAGAGATTTGAATTTGAAGATGTGTGATTTTTTTTTTAAGCTGTATCTACTATGTCCACTAAATCACTGTAGTTCTGTCTCTTATAGAGTAAGAGCCCGAGGAGCCATCTCCTAAAAGAAGGGAAGCTAGCAATAAAATAGTTTTGAGAGTTTTGAAATATATGCTAATTTTTATTTATTTATATTCATTCTTTTTTTTTTTGTGGAACCAGGGATTGAACTCAGGCCCATGCACTTGCCAGGCAAGTGCTATATGCAAGTGTTTAAAGAACTTACTCTTGGGGCTGATGAGATGGCTCAGTGGTCTAAAGCACCTATTTAGAACAAGCTTAGCAAAGCACAGGGACTGCGGTTCAATCCCCAGCACCACATGCCTGCCAGCCCTGCCCCCTGGTGGGCTGAGCTGGCCACACACACACATACACATACATACAAAAAATAAAAATTTAAGAATAAAAGAACTTACTCTTACTTTAGTGTAATAGACCAATACAGAAGTACACAATAAAAATTGGCTCAGCTGGGTGTGGTGACATACACCTGTAATCCAACACATAAAAAGCTGAAACAGGAGTCAGTGTGAGGCCATTCAGGGGTACATAGTTCAAGTCACTTCTGAACTATATAGCAGAACATGTCTCAAAAAAGCAAACAAGAAAAAGTATGTGACTGATTGAAATAACAAGCAAGTACTATATCCAAGTAATTACCTCAGAGTTAAAAGAAGAATATTACATTGCCAGAACTATAGAAACCACTTTTGAGTCACAGCTCTGCACCTCCCTGTTCCTTAGAGTTAACTGTTATCCTAGCTTTTCATACTTCTTGCTGACTTTATATAATTTTAGTACCATCTCCATTCCTTGTGTCTGCAACAAAGTTTGTTATGTCATCTTTTCTGCTCACATATTTATTATACCCTGGTCCAATTCTAAAAAGCTGTGTGGCTCTTGATTTTTTACCTCTTTGTTTTCAAAAACTGCTTTGAGCGACCTCAGACTACGTTCCTTCTTCACGTCCTCTCCCGACACCCCAGCTCATCTCCCATTTCTTCTTACACTGCACCCCAGGTGCATTAGCTTCTCACTGCATGTAATGTGTAAAAGACTACACTTCATTTACACTCCACCCTGCACAAGACAAAACTTGAACTATCTTTTCTTATGTGTGTTCACTGCTCCTGACAGCAGTGGTGGTGCACTCCTAGGTACTCAGGAGACTGAAGCAGAAGGACAAGTTTGAGGCCAGCCTGGACAACTTAGCAAGACTTGGTCTCAAAATGAAAGGGTTGTAGCTCAGGGATAGAGCATGTGACTAACGTGCAAGGCCCAGGGTTCAATCCCCTATATCCCATCCTCCTGAACGTATTTACCTCCCCAAAACTTATATGGCCTAAGTGAATTTCTCCTATCCTCCCCAACAATAAGGATTTGAATGGGCTCTATACCCATTTTTGTTTTTTGTTTTTTGTTTTTTTGGTTTTTTTTTCGCAACTGGGGATTGAACTCAGGCCCTTGTGCTTGCCAGGGAAGCATTTATTCTACTGAGCCATCTCCCTGGCCCCTCTATACCCATTTTTATCAGGGTCACAGCTTTTATAGTGTTTGGTATACATTTTTATGGGTTTTCCCTATTTTTTCTCATACTTGTTCAAGTTGGTGTTTTCTGCCCTAAACTGAATACTTTATCAATGCTGTTTTGTTTTCTAAAATGCCCTTTCCTCTTAACTCTATCCATAATTTTCTATTATTTTTCAAGATCACTTCATTATCTTTTTTTTTTTTTTTTTTTTTTTTTCGGGGATTGAACTCAGGCCCTCGTGCTTGCCAGGCAAGCGCTTATTCTGTTGAGTTATCTCCCCGGCCCCATATCTTCTTGTAACATTTTTTCCTATTCAATAAATAGAAAGGGGTTCCTTTTATTCCTATTGTTTTCAACATTTGATGTAACTTTGTATCTTATGTCTGCTTCCCTAACTATACTAACCTCTGCCAGATCAGGGAATGGGGCCAGGCATAGTAGTGCACATTTGTAATCCCTGCACTTGGGAGCTTGAGGCAGGAGGATCACTGAGAGTTTGAGGCTGGTATAGTAAAACTCTCTCTCAAAAAGGAAAAAAAATAAAAATAAAAAGCAGGTAATGGATCAGTTATCTTTGTATTCTAGTACTATGAATGTGTGGTTGGTCTTCACTAAGTGTGTGTTGAATGTTAAACAATATGTAAAGCTCAAATACTGATGATGTAAAATGTAGGGATCCATTGGTCTCTCATTGCGGTCCATTTTTTGCCCCTGAGCAGCAGGGATGAGGAAAAATAGACATGAAGGTAAGAACTGGGTTAAATGGTGGCTCCTCCCCAGTAAGGGCCTTTATACCTTTACAAAGCTGCAAGACATGAGGTTGCCTAGCGACTGATAGCCTACAGTATCCAGGCAGGATATTTTCCTCAAGACTTGGAAGTAGTTTGACTGCTTTAGGCAGTGAACCTTTATCCTGCCCTCTAACATATCATCAATTTCAGCTTTAGTAAAAAAAAAAAAAATCACCTACTGCTACCACTAGTAGTTGGAGCCAATTTTTGTATTACTCACTAGTAAATAGCAGATGTTCTTGAACTGCTATGCTTTTCCTTCATTGTGTTGTCTATTGTTGTTTTGTATTTAGTGCAGAGTCTCACTACACAGATCAGACTCGTGATCTTCCTGTTTTCAGCCTCCCAACCTCTGGGATTACAGGCGTGTGCCACCATGCCCAGTCTCCATGTCGTCTGTTTTCTGAGAATTGAATGTTGTTTGAGAAGACATCAGTTATTAGAAAAGTTGTCATAGGTTTTTTGTGGTTTTGTTTTTTTTTTTTAATGTATTTGGTTATTGCAGGGTCTTACCACGTGCAGCTCAAACTCGTGGTGATCCTCCTGCTTTCAGCCTCCCCAGCCCTGGGATTACAGGTGTGCACCACCATGTCTCCACTCTGTGGCTGGCTGAGCCCGCCCGGGGGGCAGGGCTGGCACAGCATGTGGTACCAGGGATTAAACCATGGTCCCTGCACTTGCCTAAGGAGGTGGTTAGTCAGCTGAGCTATCTTGCCAGCCCCCCATACAGATGGTTCTGATACACAGAGAATGGGCAGTACAGTGTGTTAAACCTCTACTTACTGTTATGCTGAAACTTTGGATTTCATTGATAAAATAGGTTTTATAGTACAGTTGACTGCTTCAAAAAATAAACATATGTATAAAACATTATATATATAAATATATACATATGTGTCTTTGCACAATTCTGATATTTTACAGATGGTCAATCTGGTCAGCCTACTTGTACATCCTATCAAAATGAAGATGCACTAAATGTTTTAAAGAATGACAGCAACCATGAAGTACTTAGACAGCAAGCCCAGGAAGATTTTTTCCACATAGACTCTGACATGCAGAAAAAGTCTATTAAAACAGGAACACCTACAGAACAGAAATGTAACCTTGATATTACCTTTGAGTCTGTGCCTAATTTGAATGACTTTAACCAAAGAGGAAATTCTCATGCTGAATGTAATCAGCATTGTACCGAACTGTACACCAGTCAGATCCCTTCGGAAATTGACAGACCCATGGAGGTTGAAAAAAATTCTTTGTCTCCAAATGTGCCGGCTGAGCCTCCATTACAGCCTGATCAGTCTGACGTACCGGTAACTTCATTTATTACACTTGGTGGTGAAATGGACAATGAAAACTTAATTATCTCTGGGAAAAGTTCTCAACTTTTGTCTCAAAATACTACACTGACTGGAAAGCCATCTAAAAATAGTCAGTTTTGTGAAAGTCTTAACAATGCAGTGAGACTTAAAACTAATTTCCCTAGTTCCAAATCACCAGAGTCTAGTGAAAATCACAAGAGTAAAATTGAAATGAATAATGTACTACCAGTTGTGTCACAGCTGTCAGGTTGCCAGGATAATTCTTCACTTCAAAGTAAAGTATTACCTGTGTCTGTTGAAAGTTCAGCTCTACAGGTTTCTGAACAGCAAATAGAAATTCGTCTTGAAGATTCAATCGCTTCAATTAAACAACCATATGATTCTACAGCTGTTGAACTAAGTCATACAGAAAATGAGACTGAGTCGTGCAAGTCTGACAAAGCAAGTTTGGATTCCGAGGAGCCTTCATCTTTCGTAAAAGGAGAAGACAACATTTTCCTTTTAGGTAGAACGGATACCTGCGGGGAGGTTGCATTGATACCTCCAGGAGGCAACGCTATAAAAAGTGGTTGCTCTCTTCCTTCAGAACCTGGTGGTTCTTCCATGGGAAAGTCTCATTCTGAGTCCCAAAATCCTGATGAGAAACCGTCTAGTGACAACTCAGCAGACATGGATGCATCCAATATTGTCTCACTTAAAATTATCATTAGTGATGATCCATTTGTTTCCTCGGATACGGAACTTACCAGCGCTGTATCTAGTATCAGTGGAGAAAACTTGCCAACTATCATTTTATCTTCTCCTGCTAAATCATCTGCCAAAAATGCAGAATTAGCTAAAGGCCTGTCTTCAGAAGACACTGCAGGTTCCGTTTTATCTGCTGAAGTGGGGGATTCAGCCTCAGTGGAGCAGAGCCTTTTGACACTCAAACCTGAGGACTCTGCAGTGAGTAACACTCAGAGTGAAGACGGCACTGCTTTTGCAACCAGTGTCACACCATGTGTTTCCAAGGAAGGAGGATTCATACAGTTGATGCCAGCCACAAGTGCAGCTTTTGGCAACTCCAGTAACATTCTCATTGCTACCTGTGTGACTGATCCAACAGCCTTGGGGACAACTGTCACTCAGTCTAATGTTGTGGTGTTGCCTGGAAATTCTGCACCTATACCCACACAACCCCCTCCACCAAAGCTACAGACACCACCAAGATCCAACAGTGTATTTGCTGTCAACCAAGCAGTGTCACCAAACTTTTCACAAGGTAACTTTAAGAACTTATTTAAACCTGTAATCCTAGCACTTGGGAGGCTAAGGCAGGAGGATCTTGAGTTTGAGGCCAGTCTAGGGTACATAGTGAGACCCTGTCTCCAAAACAAAGTGTAGATAAGGGGTATGATGTAACTATGGTGGAGTACTTGCCTACACTATGCAAGGCCATGAACTTCATCCCCAGTGCTGCAAAAGGAAAAAGCAGTTGGGATCTTGTGGAAATTCATTTCCCTTGTTTATGAAGTTGTTGGCTGGGAGATTTAATATATATATTATGAGAAAATACACTTAAAGTTGTAATTATGCTTCCTTCTTGTACTAGCTTAATTCAGTTAAATCCTCTATGAAGCTTTTTTTCCCTGTTACTCCTCAAGTATGTGCTAATAAGCTCCTGAAAGAGATAAAAAAAAAAAAAAAAAGATAAGAAAAACTGATCATTCACATAGCTGTACCTATCAAAATCTAAATATTATGGGAGATTTTAAAATACTTATTGTGCTTGTAGATTTTAAGGACTTTGTCATCTATTTAGAGAGCCCTTCAAAAACACTTCTTCATCCATAAAATCTAAGTTTTCAGTGCCTTCTGTCTTAATAGAATTCCTGCTTCAGACTCCTTTGTTTAGAAGGTGATCTTGTGGCATTTTATTATGTGCAGTTTCACAGCAGCAATTGAAATGCCCATTCCATTAGTCCTTGAGCATACACACCTCAGAATGAAGCTTGCAGCATACTCATCTACATTTTTATATATACTGTTCCTTTCCCCTGCCCACCTTTTTACATTATAAGCATACATGAAAATCTGAGTAAGCCAGCAATGTAGTTCAGTCGTATGGCACCTGCCAAGGTCCCGAGTTCAATTCCCAGTACATAATAAATAATATCTCTCATAGATGAAAAAGTTTTTAAAAATAAAAGCTGATTAAACATTGACAGTCATGTATTAAACTTGGTGAGTCTGTTTCAAGTGCTGTTTTGATGAGTTAAAGGAGAGGTCAGGATTGGTACAAATATGGAGCTTAGGCTAGCACTCAGAGAAATAAGTAGGATTTGGAGAGAAAAGCAGTCCTCCCAGCCAAGGGAACCAGCAGAAGCATACATGGGTATTTGAAGAGACCACAGTAAGCGAGCCTAAAAGTAGAGAGACCGCCTAACAGGGATAGTTAGTGAGTTTATTCAGAAAAAGTTCATTTGCAGGACAGGACTACAATGCGACTGGTTGACTTGTAAGGACCTTGGAACCATTCTCATTTCTCCTCACTGAGTTTTGCTTGTTCAGTGCCCTTTTGGAGCAGTGCCATTGAGACATAAAACAGGGTTGTGATCAGGGTCTTGGGCTATCCTCATGCAGTTAGGGTCCTTTCTGTTAAAGTGTTCATATTCAAGTTCCTTTATTCTTTCACAGGAATCAAGCTATAATTGTAATCTCCTAGCTATGGAGCACTTACTCATGATGCTTTCCTTTAGCTAAATTCCTTAACACTGTAACATTCAGATAGACTTTCTCTTGGCTGCACTACTGTTCTTAAATCAGTATTTTTTAAAGGAAAGTAGACTGGGGCTGGGGAGATAGCTCAGTGACTTAAGTGCTTTCCTGGCAAGCACAAGGTCTTGAGTTCAATCCCCTGTACCAAAAAATAAATGCATAAATAAAAAATTAAAAATAAAAGGAAAGTAGATTATAAAGGTCTTTCATAGAGTTTATTTCAGAATATTAATTAAATGTTTTATGCCGGAAGATTTGAGGAAAATATCTTACTTTAATGTGCATGGTTTTTCAGGTTCTGCCATTATAATTACTTCTCCGGTCCAGCCTGTGCTCCAGGGGATGGTGGGCATGGTCCCAGTGTCTGTGGTGGGACAGAGTGGAAGTACCTTTTCTGCACCTCCTCAGCAGGTACGATTTAAAAGCTGAGAGTGGTACGCTGAAGGTTTGCTGACAGTAATGAATGGCTGCTTCTCTTCCAGGTCCTCCACATGCCATTAGCAGCACCTGTGTGCAATAGAAGTATCCCGCAGTACCCCGCTCCTCCAAAATCTCAGAAGGCTCAGGGGCTGAGGAACAAGGCTTGCATAGGTACCGCTTCCCTAAGTTATTGATGTCAGCTTATGTCTCTGTTCATTTGTCCTCAGCAACACGTGATTATCTTCCTTTTGAATGCTTAGCTATTCCTAAAGATTGATTGTCTTACCTTAGCCTGAAGTATTGCAGAATAGATGTCACAAGGCAGCCAGTTCTATTACTGAACAGTTTTGCTTCTGTTTTTATTTGTTGACTCTTCATTTTTGCCTGTTTGGTCTTGTGCCTTCTTTGGCGTTCCTCAGGCTAGTGTGCTGCCTCTTTTCCTAAATGCTTAAAGTGTTTGATAAATGGCTCTCAGTATATTTGTATGAGAATTTAGAGTAATACATCTCAAATTTTAGTATGCATACGTACTACCTGAGGATTTTGTAAAGTGCAAATGCTAACTTAATAGGTGTGGCTTGGTGCCTAAAGTTCCATATTTCTAAAAAGCTTAGGTGAGGCCAGTACTCCTGTTACAGAGCACACTTCCATAGAGTAGCTGTGGCTTTAGTTTTGTTCTCCAGTCAGTGGCCCAGCTATCTACCATGTCAAAAGCTCAGGAGTCACTCTTTTTTTTTTTTTTTTTTTTTTTTTTTTTTTTTAAATTTTTTTTATTTATGTGTGTGTGTGTGTGTGTGTGTGTGTGTGGCCAGCTCAGCCCACCAGGGGGAGGGGCGGGCTGGCATGTGGTGCTGGGGGATTGAACTGCGGTCCCTGTGCTTTGCTAAGCTTGTTCTAAGTAGGTGCTTTAGACCACTGAGCCATCTCACCAGCCCCTCAGGAGTCACTCTTAACACACATTTCATTAGTACTAATACTTATTTTCAACTAAGTTATGTCAGTGTTGTCCTAATCTAGTCCCACTTCTTTGTTGTCTCTGTTTACTTGTTGCTAGCTGAATGCCTTTTTCCCTCTCATACACATATGTGTGTTGCTTCCTGCCCACACACTGGGAAGTACCTGCCCACAGGATAAAATTGAAATTCCGGGGGCTGAGTAACACACACCTTGTCATCCGCCCACTTCTCAGCTCCTCCCAGTGGCCAGCGTGGACTCTGTCAGTACTTGCTGCTCCTCTTATCCATGGTGGTCTTCACTTACCCTTTTACTCCTCCTGTGTCTTCTCAGAATTCTCTTTTCTCCTTCAGCTGTCACCCTTGATCTTGTTTTCATCTTTCAAACATAAAGGTAGCTTTATCCGAAGGTGCTACTTTTACCAATCTGTGTCAGAGGTGGTTATCCTATTTGTTTTTCTTTAAATCTTATTTTTGCTACAGCACTTACCAGATTACGTTGTGAATGTTTGTCTTTACTAGTCAAGTGTTTTAAGGACAGTGATACACAGAACTTCACTAAATGTTACGATCAGCTCAGTTTATCATTATGATGAAGGTTATTCATCTGGTAATTGGGATTTAAGTTGTATTTTGATTTACTTACACCCTGTTGAACTTTGTCTCATTGTAGCATCTCTGTATTATTTTTCTGTTCCTTCTCTTACCTTTTTTTTTCCTTTTAAAGACCATTGGAAATATATCATTTGCATAAACTTATGAATGGACTTGTAAGGTATTTCCACAGTTTTTATAGTGACATGATGAACACTTGTAGATGGTACCTTTGTAGGCCTGTACAAATATGTTTAGGGTATACACCCAGGATTAGATTCTTTTTTTCTTTTTTCAGCGTTGACTACATTTTTCTGAATCAGAGAATTCACTCTTTCATTATTTTCTTTACCCATAACATTACCAGTGCTCAATACCATGTAATATTTATTTAATTTTTGCCAGTGTGATGGTGTAAAATGGTACAGGAGTGTCTTACTTCATTTTGCATTATTATAATCACTAGTAAGGTTCAGAATCATCTCTTACAGATGAACTATTTTCCTTTCTATGAGTTGCTTCTTCATATCCTTTTCTGTTGAGGAATTTTTTTTTATAACCTTATCACAAATGTCTTCTCAGTGTTACGCTTATTTTTTATGCCATTACAGACTTAATGCAGAAATACAGAAAAATTGGTGTAAGTTCCATGTCTTTATGATAAGTTCTTAAAGACTATTCTATGGTAAATGTTCACTGAAGTTGGGAACAAAACAAGGCTACTCATTCTCAACTTCTATATAGATACAAGAATCCAGTCCTTCCAGCACCAATAAAGTAGTATTAATCCATTTTTTTCCTAGTGACAGCTGATCTTACCTTCACCATATGCAAATTATCATATATCTGTGGTCCAGAAAATAGGTATGAAAATTTGAATAAATTTGAGTAAATTATTATGGCAAATGGTGTGATTTTTACACAGTAAGCCTCAGGGAATTAATAGAAAACTGATTAGGACTGGTAAAAATTAAACAAGGTTGCCAGGCATGATTACTTTACTAAAATTTCTATGCCAGCAATAAAGTTAGTAAATGTAATAGAAAACAAGGTATCGTTTACAATGACCACAAAAATCATAAACGGCAAAGGAGATACCCTAACCAAAAATGTTAGAAAAAGAATTTTAAATCTCTACAGGGATCTATAGGAAGTTCTAAATAAATAGGAAATGCCACGTTTGTGACTTGAAGATTTAACCCTATAAAGATATCAGCTCCCAGTTGATATTCTATACAATTCCAGTTTAAAAGATTTTTTTTCCCCTTGGACTCAGTAATGATCCTCCTGTTTTCAGTCTCCCCAGCGCTGGGATTACAGGCGTGCACCACCACGCCTGCTTTCAGTAGCGAGTGCAGCACACCTGGGTTCTGGGGCCGGCATGTCATGTGGTGCCAGGGATCAAATCGAATCTGTTGAGCTGTCTCACCCGCGCAAGTAAAAGATTTTGCGGATTGGCAAAACTGGTGGTTAAATTTATAAGGAAGAATAAATCTATGGTTAGCTAAGAAGAGCAGAGCACAAACTTTACCCAGCCAATACTGAAACATAGTCACACCAGAGTAATTTCAAACAAATAGAACAAAATATTTGAGGAAGAAATGGTGCAGTATGTGATAAAGGTAAAAGGAGAGGAGGCACTATGTACCAAGTAACAGCTTGTTTCAGGACCTGATGACTGTAGCAGATGGTTTGCAGATTCCTCTGCCTTAAGTTTCTTCCGTAGAGCACATGACTACACTACCATGGGTGAGGCCTTGGGTTCAATCCCCAGCACTTGTACAAAGAGGTAAAACAACAAAGTGGTATCATTTCTTATCATTTAAAATGATTTCTCACTTAGCTGTCACTTGGCAAGCATTTTAAATATTTAAATCCTTCCCATTCCTCTTTCAAATGGTTTTGAGATTTGCACATCTCTAATCTCATATGTCTAATCCCTGCCTTCTCAGTTTTAGCTGGTGATTTGATCTTCTATCCTATCAGTAGTAAACTTCCTTTCTAATCATTTCCATCTGGTATGTAGGGGTCGGGGAAATGGCTCAGTGGAATAAACGCTTCCCTGGCAAGCGCAAGGGCCTGAGTTCAGTCTCTGGTTCCACAAAAAAAAAAAAAAAACTTCCCAGATCTGGTATGTATCTGTTCTATTTCCAATGTCATTCTTCTCTTTTCTCATCTCTTGTAAAAGAAGAATCCTTTCTCATTCTCTCAAAGGTTATACAGGCTGTGTTCATGATTGTATCTGCTCCTGTACATCCTTCAGGAGCAGATATCCTTTTCTTACATACTTTTCTTTTTTGGCTTTTTCCCTCTCTGGTTGTGTGTAAACTTGCATGTTTATCCCTCCTGCCATCTGTACCTTATTCCCCAACACCTCTTTATTTCCTAGTCCTTATTCAAATTACTGTATTGTCTTCTGTTTCTTACTGAAACTTTTTTTTTTAATGTATGTGGTTGTTACAAGGTCTCACAGTGCAGCTTGGACTCATGGTGATCCTCCTGCCTTCAGCCTCCCCAGCGCTGGGATTTCAGGCATGCGCCACTATGCCCAGACTCTGGCTGGCTCAGCCCACCCTCAGGGTGCCGGGGAACAAACTGCAGTCCCTGCGCTTGCCTACGCAGGCACTTTAGTCTGCTGAGCTATCTCACTGATCTCTACTGAAACTGTTTATGCCAATCTGATACTGCCATGTGCTTTGGACTTCCATTTTTACTTTCATTTCTTTGGTTGGCACTACTTCCTTTGTTGATATTATTAGGTATTTCCCTTGGTGATTTTTATAACACAATCTTTAAATTGTATGTATCTAAGTCCTTGCTTGCCACTTCACTGACCCGCCCTGCCTCCCCCATGCATAGTTAATATTACCTTTACCTTCATGTACATGTGAATGCCCATTTTTTTTCTGGAAGACCTATGGAGTATTTAGAACTATCTTACAAGAATTCTTGCTTTCAGTTATCTCTCTTCTCTGTTCTGTCTTTCCTATTGTTGTAAGACTGATCTTCCCAAAACATACATGTATTCATGCATCTTCCCCATATATAACTCTTAGATAGTCAGAGATCACAAGTGACCATAATGCACAAGGTCATTCGTGATCTCATCTCTCTTACCCTTTCTACTTTTTGTATCATGCTGCTTCCCCATGTGAACCTGTGGAACTTAAAATGAAAAATCCAAGCATTTAAATGTGGTCGTTCAGGGGCTGGAAGTTTGGCTCAGCAGTAGAATGCTTGCCTAGCAAGCTGGAAGCCCTGGGTTCATTCCTTGGCACCAAAAACTAAAAATAAACCTCACCTTAAAAAAAAAAGTCAACCAAAAAAATAGTGAAATCAAAAGGACCAAAAACAAAAAAGGCAAATATGGCCATTCAAAAGACATTCATCAGGGTCAGGGATATAGCTCAGTGGCACAGCGCCTGCCTGGCAGGCACAAGGCCCTGAGTTCAATTCCTGGTAGGAAAAAACAAAGGACAGCTTAAAGCATTAAATTTGAGCTGGGAAAGTAGTTCTTGCCTGTAATCCCAGCGCTTGAGAGACTGAAGCCATTGGGAGTTCAAGGCCAACCTGAACCACATAGCAAGGCTTTAGCCCCAAAAACTTAAGAAGTAGAGATAAATTTTTATTTTTTATTTTTTTCCATAGTTTAATTGATAAATAGCAATGAAAATTTTTAAAAGAACTTTTATTTGCTTTAGTGACTTAGTCTTGGAAGCATGGTAGTTATATGGGTAAATTTTTAAATAGCTGTCTTGATGTAAGTGCAGTTGGCCCCTTTCTGAGCATGTTCAGCATCCAGATTCAACCTCCACAAGTAGAAAACTTTAATGGGACACTAGGAATGGCAATCCATGCCTGTAATCCCAGCATTGAAAAGCTGAGGCAGGAGAACCATAAATTCAAAGCCAGCCCGGGTTGCATGGCAAGTCTGAGGCCAATCTGAGCTGCATAATGAGACTTTTTCAAAAAAGTGAAAAGAAAACTTTCAGGGAGAAATGTTGTATCTGTGCTAAAAACATATAGACCTTTCTAGTCTTCGTTCCCTAAACTGTTTATGTGCATTTACATTTTAAATAACCTACAGATATGTGCCTAATTTACAACCTATAAGCCATTACCCTTAAAAAAAAGAAAGAAAGAAAACAAACTTACAACAAACACAGAAAAGCATCTGTAAATTTTGGTATCCATAAGAGCCCTAAAATCATTCCCTCTCTGATGCCTGACTATAGTGCAGACTGAAATTCTGTTTACCTGCATTTGAAGTAAATAATTTGCCTCCCTATCTAGATTTCCTCTGTAGAATAGATGGATGGCAGTTTTGTATATATTGCAAAATGCTTCTTAAAAAATTAGTATATGGAAGTGCTTTGAAACGTTTTTCTTACACTATGTAATATTGTCATATGTTATATCCTTAATTTCAGGAAAGCAGGTCAGTAAACTGGCAGATTCATCAAGTCATTCAGTTGGATGTCTTGCGCAAAGGTGAGTATCAAGTAGTTTCTGTGGATGATTATTTGAATGCTCAGATTAAAAGCAAATGGATTTCTTTATGTTGCTACGTACATTTCCCCCCCACTCCCCAGAAATGAAGCTCCTGACAAGAATATGGCCACAGGAGTTGAGAAAAAAATGGAAGAGATCACAAGTTCCTTCACTGGAGAGAGCATAGTTCCAGCTAACAAACCATTTGAAAGCCATAGACGTGTGCTGTGTTTTGATAGCACTTCTTCGGTGGCAAACACACAGGGATCAGGCCATAAGGTGGTATCCCAAGGTAGAGAAAGGCATGACGTTTCTGCTTCTCATCTTGACTCACCCACGGTGTCGTCCATGTTAAAACCCCCTTCTAATGCCACCAAAAAAGAGAGAGAGAAAACACCTATTCCCAAGATTTTATCTAAATCAGAAAGTGCTACTAGTCGGCATACCACCATAAAAGAAAGTCAATCAGATAAGAAAGTTTCACCAACAGAAATAGTGTTTGAATCCTTCCATAAAGCAACGGCTAATAAGGAAAATGAATTATGCAGTGATATGGAAAGGCAGAGAAATTCAGATCCTTCAAGATTGTCTACTGGGCAGCAAAATGGGAGTTTACGAAGTGAGAAAGCAGCATCTTCACTACAGGAATTGACCAAAAAACAAGCTGCATCTTCAAACAGTAAAAATGTTATTTCAGTAGGTGCAGCTATGAAGGACCTAAAGCAAGAGCAAACGAAGTCTACCAACTGTTTGAGTGCCACAGAAATATTACACGACGTGCAGCTGCATAGCCCAGTAAGTAGACTTGCCGAGGGTGATTTGCCTGTTCCCCGGACACCTGGCTCAGGAGCAGGGGAAAAACAGAGAGAAGAAGCTGCGGATGTCATCAAGGCTCCTTCAAATAGGCGTTTTGGTGACGACAGTAGCGCACCCAAAGTAATGATCCCTCCTATCACTCCAGACTTGCCTGCCTGCAGCCCTGCCAGTGAGACAGGCAGTGAGAATAGTGTCAGCATGGCTGCCCACACGCTCATGATCCTCTCCAGAGCAGCCATTTCCAGGACTGCTTCCACAACTCCGCTAAAAGACAACACACAGCAATTTAGAACATCTTCAAGGAGTACCACGAAAAAAAGGAAAATCGAAGAGTTAGATGAGCGTGAACGGAACTCCCGCACTTCTAGTAAAAGTCTTGCAAATTCATCAATACCAATGAAAAAGAAGAAAATTAAGGCAAGTTTAAGTTTTAATTTCAAAACTCTACCTTTTCTTTGCTTCAGTGCTCAGAAAATTCAGTTTTTGCCACAACCTGATTGAACTGTTTTGATTGATAAAATGCATGTAATAGCAGTGTTCCTTAGTCATTGTGGTACTTAGAAGTTGTGTATCCCAGCTCTCAAGAGGCTGAGGCAGGAGGATTGCTGTGAGTTCAAGGCTGAGATAAACTATACAGTGGGACCCTGTTTCAGAGAAAGTCATGTAGATTAAATAGCATTTTAAAGCAATTGCTGAGGCATTTCCCTGTAACATCTTGCTTGGGAAAGGCGAATGTTTGTCATGGTAGGACACAGGTTTTATTTTGTGAGAACACCAAAATAAATGAAAGATTGGGAAACCACTATTCAGTCAGTTGAAGCAAGCACAGTGGTGCCTCAATTTATAAATAATTTGGTTTGCAAACAGAAGCATTTGGAAAATTTTTTTCTTTGCAAACTGCCTTGGGTAATAAACAACCGTGGCCATCTTTCCCACTCGCTCTCATTTCAGACATCCTTATCCTGTCATTATCACTTTGCTCTTTACATGTAGCACTTCTGGAAGTTCCCTTTCACGGATGGCTAATTACACGATTGTTGGAGAAGCAGTGTACCTGTGTGAATTTCCCATGTGTACATTCTGACACTGCCACTGACCATGGTGAAACCTGGCTTCTCTGATTATTAGTCTCATCAATTTGTGTGATGTTGCCACATGTTCTCTTGTGGCTTTGGGAACTACATGCAGTGTATGGAAAACACCTGATATATATTTAATGTGTGCAACTTGCTAAGTGCCTGCTGCTCTATCTTCATAAAGCTTTCTGAGGCTTACAGTTTGTAGTAGCAGTCACTGTATATGAGCATTCTGTCTTGTATCATTCAGCAGCACTGTTAGACCCTGGACTTGTATAATGCTTTTTACCCTAGACTAATGCTTAAGTACCATTAAAATACAGAATTATGTTCAAAAAACATGGTGAAATTTTTGTTTTTAATTTATTAAAAGGAAAAGACACATTGCTATTAATTCACCTCAAAATTCCCTCATTTCAGACATACTTATCCTATCATCTGGCCATTTTTATGTAGTGTTCTGCTGTTATGGCCGCCTGAGTGGGCTGAATCAGTTCACAATGTTTACTTTCATGGTCATCTTGTCTGTGGGGCAAACCAGAAGTCACACATGCCAGGTCCAGTGATTAAAGTGGGTGAGGACACACAAGCACACTGTAATGTCTTTGCGAGCCTGCCTTCCTACTGGATGACGCTTGGCAGCAGCCTTCACTGTGTTCTTCACTGTATTCAAACTTAAGGACAGGAAGGAAAACTTCCAGAGGAGCTTCAAGAAGTGCAAGAAAGATGGGATAAGTGTGCTCAAAAGGGGGGGTTATTTTTAGAGGAATTAATGGCAATGGGTGTTTTACTGTAATTTTTTTAACATTCTGTTTTGGCAACACTTCATATGTAAATTCTGGGTTTATAAAACATCTCTGCTTCTATAGAACTAAAATTCTAAAAGATTAAAAAAAATTGGCAATTTTGGTAGCATATGGAAGAACCCAATATTGTGCTCTAGGTGTCTTACTTCATGAGAAAACCAGCCTTGTTTATTTTTCCTTGTTTCTTTTTTTCTCCCCACAGAAAAAGAAGCTACCTGGTTCATTTCCAGCAGGAATGGATGTGGACAAATTTTTATTATCATTACATTATGATGAGTAAGCATTTTAAACACAAGAACCTTGGTTGTTTCAATCTTGTATCCCTTAAACTATGGGTGTGGGGAATAGGATATTGACAGAAATTGAAAACATGACCTGCACTTTCCATTGTACTGAAGTTTCACTTTATACTTAATCATGCTGTTTATGAAGCAGCACCCTAGTTTGTAAATAGACTTGATATATTTCTATTTTGGGAAAAAAAATTAGCAGAAATGTAAGTAAAGCCAGTCTGCAAAAACTGTACAGCTTTGACAATTGCATATTGTAAATACTGTGTAAATCTTGTGAAAATAGAGGTTAAATCACCTAATGTTCTTACACTGAGTTTTTCGACTTACGATGCTCGAGGTTTATTCATCCGGAATAGTGTCTCATTTCTTTTGAAGGAAACTGTTCCTTATCCTTATAAATTACCTTCAGCCATTGTTTAAAAAGATATTTAAATATATAGCCACTAAGTACAAAAAATGAAAACTACCTCAGCTGGTAGTAATCAATAGTTTGATGGATTTTTTCTCCCTAGACTCAGTACTTTACCGCCCTTTCTTGTAGTTGCAGTATAAACTATATTCTTAAAATGTTACAATTTATTTCATGTGGTCATTCTGTTCTCTTTGTTATAAAGAGGATTTTGTAAGCCATTTATTGAGTGTTCTGATTCTTCCCTTACATCTTTTACAGAACATTAAGTGGTAGACTCTTGAGCCATACAAAACTGAGTTACAAAGTAGTTGCGATTTCTCAGTATATATAAACTTTGCCCTAAGCACTAGGGATGTAACGAATTGCACTAATTCTTCATACAGTAGTGAGTGATGCACATTTAATTTAAACCTTGTATTTTAAGTTAAAGCTTGTGTGAATTATCTTCTGGTGTCCTGAAAGTCATGTCCATCAAAAGATGTAAAAAGAGAAATCATAGTGTTATATTTTAGTTTCTTCTAACATGGGGTGTGTTATATGACGGTATCCACACTGTGTGTCCCTTAAAGTGTTCTACACAGATGCTCTCGAGAGGCCCTTCGGGGGGAGAGAGAGGTGCCTTCTCCGTACTGAACTCACTTAACAGCAGTCAAGTTGAAGAACCGGTTTAAACTTTTAAATAACGAATTATAATTAATACCTGACCAATTGTGCCTAGATATTAAAGTATGCTTAAGTGCTTTCTGTTTAAATGTGCGTACATTAGGATTTTTTTACACAGGTGTATATTTTGTTGAAAGTCACTTTCTTCAACCATTTTTTGTACTGGGTCTTTAAAATAATAAATCCATCCTATTCTAATACAAGTGTTCAATGTAGAAATGATTTCTTCATTGCTAAACTGTGCTGCAGAAATTTTGGGTTATAAGAAATTTTTATGATGTGACGGTGGTCTCTAACTATGCAGTTAATATTTACTTGATACTGTACTACAGTTAGATTCGAATAAATATTTTCGTTAACTTTGGAACTTTAACAAGGCAGGAGCCACTACATCTAGTCAATTGTAGTTAGAGTTTTGTGTTTCAGAGCTAAATCATAGTCCTCATTTTGTCCTAAAAATCTAAGTGTCCTACACATTACCTGGTAACCTGGTTTAACAGCCGGATGTTGAGTGACTGCATCTTGGAGTTAAAATATACCACAGGCAGTATATTTCAGGGGCACATTGCTCCACATTCTGCACCGCCCCATCTCGATACTGAGGGTGTGTGGGGAGCCCTGTGCATGCAGGGTCAGCCCTCTGCCACTGAGCTGCATCCCCTGCTTTGCCGGCCTTCAGTTCTTATCAGGCCTTGTTGAAGTTGTGTGTCAGGTTGTGACTTTGTGATTATACCTCTGCGAAAGCTTGTTTTGTTTGCTGTTGATTTATTTTGGTTGATTATTTTCGAGGCAGGGCCTGTATGGTCTTGAGCTCGCTAGGTAACCCAGGCTGGCTTCAGACTCAAGGTGATCCTCCCACCTCCGCCTCCCAAGTGCTGGGATTGTAGGCTGTACCACCAACACCTGGCTGAGTTATGTTTTAGAAATACAATTTATTCTGAATTATGAAATTCATATAACCTCCGTGGTTTACAATCAAGAAGTTGGACCTGCATTATATTTATACATACATACACTATTTACTTTGTTATATAGAATATGCAAAAAAAAAATGTGTCATGATTAACTCATATAGCCTTTCGAACCACTTGGTTTTTTTGTTTGTTTTTGTGGCCAGCTCAGCCCACCCTGGGGGCAGGGCTGGCGCAGCAGCGTGTGGTGCCCCGGATTTAACCTACGCGCTTGCGTAAGCAGGCGCTTTAGACTGCTGAGCTGTCTCGCCAGCCCCACTTGCATTTTAAATATGGTAAGTACCCAGAAAGTTTAGCAGCTGTCTTTGTTGTTGTTATTGTCCCTATGTTGTTTGTCTCTCTCACCCCCAGCGCCCCCCTACCCCAAGTTTTATTGAGACAGGACTTCTAGTAGTGCAGACTGGCCTTGAACTTACTGTGGAGCCCAGACTGGCCTTGAACTCTCAGCAATCTTCCTGCCTCAGCCTCCTGAGTACTGGGATCGCAGTCCTGTGCCACCACACTCGACTCTTAATTTCTTGATAAATTGACTGGATTTTTTTCTTTATTGGTGTTTTTAGGGGGCTCTTCATTACTTCTTTAACCTGTTATTGCATTTTATAATACAAACTTTTATAGAGGGATAACATAAACAGAAAAGTGTGCAGACTTCATTTATGCACTTAAATTTACTGTCTGAAGCAAGCATAACCATCCAGATCCAGGCTAGAACATTACCCGTACCCTAGAAGTCCTTCAGGCCTCCTCCTGTGGTAGTAACGCAACAAGTATCCATGGTACTGAGTTCTAGCACCGCAGACTCGTCTTAGGGGTCTTCTAATTTATGTAACAGATTCCTGTGGTATATATTCTCTCTGAGAACTACTCATGTTTTGTTTAAGGCAGCCATCCTCAGTGCTGCTTGTATTTGCATTGTGGTATATCACAAATTGGTTTTTGTTTGTTTTTTGGTGGTACCAGGGATCGAACTCAGGACCTTGCACTTGTAAGGCAAGCACTTATTCACTGAGCCATCTCTCAAGCCCACAAACTGTTTAAAGATGATAAAATACAAATTCAGTTTGGGGTTATTATAAATAGAACTGTTGTAAATATTCTTTTACATGTGTGTTGGGGCGAGTGCTACACTTTCCAGGTGGCTGTATACTGAGGATTGTGGTTGCTGGGCCATAGCGTTGCTTATTTCCAAATTTAATGTTTCCGTTTGCTAAGATGATTATACCAGTTTACACTCAGCAGTGGAGGGAATATTCCATTTATTCTACACTATTAGCAGGGCTTGGTATTTTCATTTTAGCCATTTTGACAGTATGTATGTACACACTGGTTTTGTTTTTCCTCCTCAGTGATTTTAAATATTGGCTACTTGGTCACCTTTTGTAGACTATCCATTAGTGTGTTTTGCTCTCTTTTGTACTGGGAAATCTGTTTTTCTTAATGATACATGTGTGTTCTTTCTATATTCTAGATGTAAATTCTTTATCAGGTAACTATCAAATATCTGAAAATTTTATCATATTTTTCTTCTAGAAGCCTTTTTGTTCAGTCTCTTACAGTTTGATTGATCATCCACATGGAATTGATTTTCCATATGGACATGCAGTTAACCTGAATACTATTTATTTATTGATGTATTTATTTTAACAGTAGCCACTGTTGAAGGTTTATTTGGTATTGTAGTTGGTGTGACACTGGGTTGCACTGTTCACAGGTGGATCTTTTTACATTATATGGCAATGTATACTAATATATTTATATAAAATACACAAAGTAAAATCCTTTAAAACAGTTATGCACAAGACATGCAATGTTGGATATGTATACTGGGTCCCAGGCTGTGACCAACTGGGGAAAGGTCAGGCAGGACTTGGTGGGTGAAACTGTGTAACAGAGTAACACACATCTGTCTGAAGAGTAAGGAGCCTGGTCAGTGAGGTGTCTCAGATGCTGGGCTACTTCACACTAACCAGGATTACGAGTGCAGCGTCCACATAAGGACAGAGCTGTGGGTTTTTGTGAACCATTTCTACTTCTAACTTTCTGAAACTGATGTTTTCCCCAGGCCATCCTAATAGTACTGCTTCAGTCACATGTCAGATAAGAAGGACAACTGGCACAACTCCAGCTAAACTCTCCTGTAGCCTAGACAGTGACATGGTAATACCGGAAGACTTTAAAACTGCAGCTCCTGGGACTGGTGAGATGGCTCAGTGGTCTAAATCACCTACTTAGAACAAGCTTAGCAAAGCACAGGGACCGCGGTTCAATCCCCCAGCACCACATGCCAGCCAGCCCCGCCCCCTGGTGGGCTGAGCTGGCCACACACACAAAATAAATGAATAAATAAATAATATAAATAAATAAATTAATTAATTAAAAAAAAAAACTGCAGCTCCTTCTGGATCGACCACAGGGTATCCATACTCTTCTTCAAAAGTGCCCGTTCCTCAAGAGTCAGAGTCACTTTCAGACATCAAAGATGCCATTTTTGTCCCAGGACACAAGGGACAGTAAGGAAGACATCATCCTTGATTCCATAGAGCCCCTTAATCATGGTAGAAATTGGATGCACCCTCCTAAGATTCTTCATTTATTTTCTGCCAAGTCTGCCACCAACAGTCCAGTGGCCCAGGATGTCTAGCTAAGTTTGATTACGTCATAAGCACTGTCAACCACCTGTTTGTGAACCTCTTTCCAATGCTCCTTATCCTCATCAGTTCCCAACTCAAGGTGCAGATTCTTCACGGCAACACCAGCAACATTCACACCACTCAACACAGGGACGCCGGAGTCTCCTTGCTCCCAAAGGATCCAGCCGTGGCAGCTCGGTGGTGCACGCCCAGCCTTTCTCCCATCAGGTAGTGGAACCGGGCTGAATCTAGGTTGCACCCACTGCCAGCAGCACAGTTCTTGGGAAAGCCGCTTATCTTCCAAGCCACATGGGTCAAGATATCCACTGGGTTGGACACAACAAGCAACTTGCAGTTGGGACTGTACTTTACAACATTAGGAATGATGAACATGAAGATGTTCACATTATACTGCACCAAATTAAGACGGCTGTCTCCTTGTTTGCGTGCTCCAGTGGTGATAAGAACCAGCTTGGAGTTTGCGATTACATTATAGTGTTTGCTGCAGACAATTTTTGTGTCCTAAGGAAAAGGCTGCCATGTTGGAGATCCATCATGTCTCCCTTCAGTTTGTCTTCCACAACATCAATAAGAGCAAGTTCATCTGCCAGGTCCTTCATTAAGACTGATGGCACAGGTCATGCCAACAGCACCAACCCCAGCAACCATGATCTTATTCTGGGGCACCTGTTTTTTTTGTTTGTTTTTTGGTAAGACCAGGGATTGAACTCAAGCCCTTGTGTTGAGCTATCTCCCCGGCCCCCACCTGTTCCTCCTTAAGGAGATTCACAATCGGCTGATCCTTGAGACTGGCCATCTTGGACTCAGAACCAAAAGGAACCAGGAATGCGTGTGGGACAGGCATCGGGGTACAGGCTTCTTAGCTCCGTACTCAGTGGTGGCAACTCCGACACTCCTATTTTTATTTATTTATTTATTTTATTTTATTTTAGGGAATGGTCTCCAGGGTGTTCAGGGTCTCACTACTAGATCAGACTCGTAGTGATCCGCCTGTTTACAGCCTCCCAAGAGCTGGGATTACAGGTGGGCACCACCACGTCCAGTCATCACTGTCTCAGCACACCCCAGGGTCGGGGCCAGCATGGGATTGAAGCCCCAGCCCCTGCGCCTGCTTGTAGGTGCTTTAATCCGCTGAGCTATTTGGCAAGCCCTCCATTTATTTAAAAAGGCTATCTCTGCCCAGGTACACTATTCCATTACCTTTATTTTAAATTAGTAAACTACATATGCATGAGTTTCTTTCTGTACTTCAGTCTATTTCACTGGACTTTTTATTTTTTTTATTTACTTATTTTTAGCGGAACCGGGAAGTGAACTAAGGGTTTATTTATTTTTAGCAGAACCGGGAACTGAACTCAGGCCTTTGTGCTTGCCAGGCAAGCGCTTATTCTGCTGAGCCACCTCCATGGCCCTGGACTTCTTTTAAAGGTAGGCCTATTACAGTCTGTCTGAATTACTGCAGAAAATCTGTTATATTTGAGTTTCTACTTTTGACCCTGAGTGAACTCCAGTAGTGCTAAGTGCTGTTATAACATGTTAAAATGTCTGCATTAAGGCTTGGCCTGGTGACACACATCTGTACCTGGGAGCTGGGGCAGGAGGACTGCAAGTTCAATACCAGCCTGTACAACTTAGTGAGACCTTGTCCCAAATTTTTAAATAAATGATGGGGCTACAGCTCAATGGGAAGCCCCTGGGTTCAATCCCCACTATTTTTTTTAAATTACATTAAACCCATGGATTATTATATTCTAATATATATTTTATGAACTTGTGGGGGGGTACTTTGTATTGTCTTTGGTTTTGATTTTCTTAGTACTTGGAATTGAACTCAGGATCTCACACTTACCAAGCTGGTGCTGTACCACTGAGCTAAATCCCCAGCCTGTTTGGTTTTTCTTAAAAAAAAAAAAAAAAAAAAAAGGATTTCGCTGTGTAGTTCGGGCTGGGCTTGAACTCATTGTGTAGCCCAGGTTGGCCTCAAACTCACAGTGCCCCTCCTACCTCAGCTTCCCAAGTGCTGGCACTGCAGGTATATGCCACCACACCTGACTCCTTTTGTGATACTTAATGGCTTTGGAACTATACATTGGGTCTGTGGACATTTGTTTACTCCTATGAAACTGGTTTTAAATTTGAACTGAAATATAAATGATTTTGAAACTTTTCTTTCTACTTTATCTGAATACTGAGAATGATAAATAGTAGCAGCTTTAAGGTTGAAGTCTTAAGACAGTGTGTAAAACCATTCAAAGCAAGGCCTGGGCCATAAAAGCATAGAAAGCGCCTTCAGAACTGTGATGGTGGCCGGCTGTTACACAGAAGCGTGTGTACTTGTGCACAGGTTATGTCTGAGCTTGTCTCTCCTCTGCAGCCATAACTATCCCGTGTGCAGTCTGTTTCCTCTTCCAGCTGCTTGATCTCTTCAGGCTGGCAGCTTTTTTTCCTCAGTCAATGACGTTTTTTCCTCCAGTTTTTGTATGTGTTCTCCAAGATGCAACTAATTTCTGACACCTCTTTAACAGTGGTATGCTTCTTTGATTCACTCATTTCTACTTTATTCTTTTGTGCTTCTTTTCTTAGGGTCCTTTTTGCGTGTTTATTTAACTTTAATAGTTGCCTTTTTTCCTTTTTAAGCCATGTAAACAGTTGAAGTTATGAATTTGTCTCTGATTCCAATTTTCAACCTCAAAATCTGGAATATGAATGAGTTCTTTGGTTTAGGACAAATAGTGGGATATATATCTACATGGTTACTTAGAATAAGTACATTGTGTTCTTTGGCTTAAATTTTATTATTAGTACAGTGAAGGTGTGCATTATTTTTTCTAGCACTGGGGATCTAACCTAGGACTTCAGTCTACCACTTGGTTACAGGTTCAAATTTGTATGTCATTTTAGTGCTTGTTACGGTGAGATGAGTAATGCAAGGCTTACATGCTAAAGGCTTGGTTGGCAGCCTGTGACGCTACTGGGAAGTGGCAGAACCTTTAAGGCTTAGGGACTGGGTCACAGGCCCATACCAGCCAAGGGGACTGGGGGACCCTAGCCCTGGCTGCTGCTTCCCTCTCATTCTGAGCTACTCTGAACTTTGCACCATTAGGCTGCCCACCAAAGGAGTAACTGATTAGAGAACAGAACCTCTGAGTCACAGCAGACCTTTCCTGCCAGGAGCCCACAATCCTAGCACTCAGGAGACTGAGGCAAGAGGATCTCTAAGAGTTTGAGGCCAGCCAGCATGAGCTACAGTAGTGACTTCAAGGCTAACCTAGGCCGCATAGTGAGACCCAGTCTTGAAAACAAAAAGGAAGCCTTTCCTGTTTATTATCTCAAGTATTTTTGTACAGTATAAGAAAAGGTTTAAAAAGCCACAGTTTATAAGGGTACAAAGTTTGATATTTATCTAATTTTATAACATTAAAATCTTAAAGGCTGGCAAGATAGCTCAGCAAACTAAGTGCCTCTTTAGGCCAAGCGCAGGTATCAGAATTGGATCCCCAGTCCCACATTCTGTGCCGGCCCCACTCCAGGACATGCTGGTGACCACGTCTGAGCGTGGTAGCCGGCACGTGTTAATTCCAGTGCAAGGGAGGCTGAAAACAGGAGGACCACTAGGAGTCCAAGCTGTGTAGTGAGACCCTGTACCAAATTTTTAAAAATGTTTGTCTTAAATGTTCAGTTTCCCATTGTAATTATTTTCACCATAGCTTTTGCCTTGTTCTAGTGTTTGTTGGTGTGTAGACCGTAGCTTACCTTTTGAGACAGGTAGACAGTGAGAACTAGGTTGCCTGGGCTGCCCCCATGCTCATCAGTTTCCTGCCTAGTCTTCCCAGGGTGCTGGAGTAGTTTGCAGCACTGCACCTGGTTATTGTAAGAGATTCCTCTTACATTAAATGCTGCAATTTTTCTATCAAACGTTTGAAGAACGTCCTTAATGTATTCGCCAGGATCCTCTGCATGGTTCTCCACTAATGGATTTTTGTCTGTCCTTGGTTTTTTCCTACATTGTTAGGTTGAACTATTGCTTCAGGATCCCATTTATTCTCACAGATACCCTTTAGTTGGTGCTGTCTCTTCTCCCTTCTCCATATTCCCAGAACTGTCAGGATTTTCCTGTTTCCCAGATTGCTGACTTTTGGATGTAGTGTTAATTCTGCCTTTCCTGGTGCTGTTATAAATTCTTTTTAAGTTAGAGGCTTAAAATAAAGCATAAGAATTTGAACTGCAGTTAGAAAAACTTGTATTTGAATCCTGGCTCAGCTATTTAACAGCTGTTTGACCCTGAGCTTATTTAGCAACTCCGTGCCTCATTTTCCTTCCCTATAAAGGAGAAATAATTATGGTTTCTGCCTGGTTTTACTGAGGATTAGGGCATTAGCTCAAGGCATTAGGGATAAGTTATACCTCGATCCATAAACCTGTTGCACGATTCTGGGAAGGGTAGCCATGTTCGTGTTCTCACACACGCTCACACAGGGCAGAGAGGCAGTGTGTGCAAACTGGGTTGCCGAAAATTCTGTCCAGGAACCAAACTGATCACAGACAAAAGCAAGGCGTCACTGTCCTTAGCACGTAAAGAGCTTCAGAAGTTCATTGTGATTTCATGTTTTTACTCTTCCCCTGCATCTCAGAACAAAGGCTTTTTTCCCCTCATATATTTTTCTTTCTTCAAAGTGGCCGATTTGTCAGAAGATGCTCACACCGTGACCTTTACTGTGGCAGCTTTTCCCTGTCCAGCCTGCTTGTGGGGCTGGTACAGAGCCATGCCCAGAGTGGTTTTTCCAGATGAGGTACAATTCGGTGACCCATGCTCCAGTCTGCCCTGCCTAAGGACAGGCGTTGAAGCGTACTGGAGTTGGCAGCCTTCTCATGGAAAATCTGTTGATCCTGTCCTTTTCCACATTCTTCTGCACTGTCTGTGCTACTCTCATAATCCAGATCTTAGGATTTTCTTTTTTATCTCCATACCCCTAGCCCTAAATGCGAACTTAAGAAATCGCCTCTATTCCAAACATTGGCACGTGGCATCTGTTTCTAGTGTGACTATACATGTGATATTTCTGGCTTTTTTTTTTTTTTGAGATAGGGTCTCACTGTGGTTCAGGCTGTCTGGATTCAAGCTGTCAGCCCTCCTGCCTCAGCCTCCTGGGTGCTAGGATTACCAGCATGTATCACCATGCTCAGCTTTCCTGTGGCTTTTTTTTTTTTTTTTTTTTTTTGTACCGGGGATTGAACTCAGGACCTTGCACTTGCCACACAGGTGCTTATGCTGCTGAGCTATCCCCATCCTTTCAAGAGAAAAATGGAATAAGGATTTTTTTTTTTTTTTTTTTTTTTTTTTTTTTTTTCCTCTGTGGCTTCTTGACTAATACTATAAACGACACTGCTAGTTTGCTCAAAATAACCAGCTCTCACTTAAGAATCTGGTAATGTAAATTAACTACAAGTAACATAAGAAAACTTGTAATTTGTCCTCTCAAATGGAAACTGCCAGCTACCTATATAAATGAACAATAATTACTACTAGTATTTCAGATATATAGATTCATACTACAGAAATGTATCAGATTTTTAAATGAAAGTACCAGAAAATTAAAGCAAAAGGGGAAAAAAGGTAATTTCATGAGGTTTGGGATGTGATCATTTTTCTTATTTTTAAAAGTTACAATAGAAAATAATAAAAAATTAAAGTGTTCGCATGTAAGGTATCCCAGGGAGTCACACGGGGCTGGCTCCAGGCACAGCACAGGCTGTCTACAGCTTCTGGATGAGCAGAGCAGAGGCGCCGCCTCCTCCATTGCAGATGCTGGCCAGCCCGTACTCTCCTTGCTTCAGGGCGTGAGCCAGATGAACCACGATCCTGGCTCCAGACATCCTACGGTGAAGAAAGCATTTGTTTCTTTAATGTAGAACAGAATTTGGGACTAACTAGCAAATGTCTATTGCAAATAAGCTTTGTGAAAAAGCTTTATCACTGCAGCTGAGTTGACTACTTAATTTAGAACTTTTGTTTCAGGAAGGGCTAGAGCTCTTCTGTTAAAGCCTGAGCCCAAAGTTTAGTTTCTTTAGGATTCGAGAAATGGTGGTCAGAAGGACAGTGTACACCAGGAATCATCACGCATCAACTAGAGTTTGAATAGAATTACCAAGGCAGCTGTTACCCTAGAAATAATATTCACCTACCCAATTGGATGCCCCAGAGAAACAGCTCCTCCATTAATATTCACTTTTTGGGGATCAATCTCCAGCATTTTAACGTTTGCCAGTACCACCACACTAAAGGCTTCGTTAACTTCCCACATTGCAATGTCTTCTTTTTTCAGTCCAGCATCTTTAAGAACCTAAAATTTTTAAGAGATATGTTAAAAGAATAGCAATCATAATTTATTTTCATTTTCTTGACATTCTGTAACTATGACTTGCATTTTTTCCTTTTGATGTTGTGTTTATATTTTTGGTGCCAGGAATCAAACTCATGACCTTGTACTTGCCAGGCAGGCACTAAGCCACTGAGCTGTATCCCAGCCCTGATGCTGTGTTTGAAGTGTGGCACTTAAATTTCTGAAGGCTCTAATTCATTTTTATCTTCTCAGAGAATTTTACTTGCATTCTGTCTGTTTTGAGGAAATAGAGAAAATTTGAAATTTTTTAACATTCCATAAATGCTTAAGAAGATATATAGTATATACTATTTGAATATAAAATTTTATAGACATAACAATGATTTTATAAAGACAAAACTAAATGTCAGTTTTATATTCATGGTTTTTATCTTTTTGAGACAGGCTCTGCTATGCAGCTCAGGCTGGCTTTGAACTCACTTTGTAGCCCAAGCTGCTCTCAGATTTGCAGTGATCAATCCTCCTGCCTCATCCTCCCAGGTGCTGGGATTGCAGGCATGTGCCACCATGCCCAGCAGTTTCATATTCTTGATCTGTAAAATTCAGTAAATCTCTCCTCTTTGGTGGTTTTTCCTTGTATCCCCTTTTTAAAAAGCTATGGGATAGCAGGCAGAGTGGCACGTGCCTGTAATGCCAGCCCTTGTGAGGCCGAGGCAGGAGGACTGCTGCAAGCTCAAGCCCAGCCTGGACCACACGGCCACGCTGTGGTGTGGAGCATGTGTCTGTTGTGCAGTCTTTGACTATGACATTTTGATAGCTGTATGAAGGTATTTCTGTGTTAGTGATTATTCTTAGGCTAATACTTTCATAAAAAATATTCTAGGGGGGAAAAAATATTCCAGGGCCCTTTAGTAAAAGAAACTCTTGAGAAGTCATACACCCCTTTCTTTCTAGGTGCTATTCTCAAGAGCCCCACTCTCAAGATAAAACCCTCTCTTGAGAGGGGCCTCGAGCCACAGCCTCTCCTCTCTCCCCTCCCTCCTCAGCCCTTCTTTGTGAGCCCTTCCTGCACTTCCCCTCTGCTAACACTGACAGCTGGGAGGATGTGGGTGTTATGTCTGCTTTCATGCTTGCTCTCTTGTCCTGCTGCCAGAATTCCCTTCCAGGATGGAGAACACCTCCTTGGGAATGACCACTGGCTTTGAATTCTGTATGTGGACTGCTGCTGTTTCCCTGTTTGCCCACCAGCTTCCCCTTTGTGTTTCTGTACCAGGGGCACCCAGCATCGTACTTAGAAGTTGTTCGGCTATGTCATTTTTTAATGTGTTCTACTGCAGATATAGTTGGTGGGCTACCCTTATTTTCAGGAAAAATGCGAAGGTGTCATGATGCTCTTGCAAGTGAAACTGTGACCTTATCACATGCAAACCAGCAGTCTGCACACAGTGGTGGCCGGTACCTTGGGCACAGCATAGGCAGGCGCAACCGGAAAGTCAATGGGGTCCACAGCGGCATCCGCAAACGCTGGAAAGGAGATTGTGGCAATCTTTTACAGGCATCCAAAGCTTTATCTTTTACATGTGGGGTGCAGAACCCAAGCTCCCTTTTTCTATTTTTCATGTAAGTTTTGGTAGATGACATTATTAAAAATTGATTGGCTCAGTTTTTGTTTTATCTGCAAATTATAACAAAAACATCAAAGGAGTTTCTGTCTCAGTTGAAATATGTATCAGTTAAATGCTTCACAAAGTATAACATACTGGAAGAAATAGCCAACTCCGCATGTGTATATTGCCCCCGCAAAGAAAGTCACTTTCAGGCAGAGCCTGTAGCAGTTTAAAAATAAACAAGAGCCAAAGGCCTACCTGCTATTCTGGCCAGCGGCTTAACGTTGAGCCTCTTGGCTGCCTCTGCAGTCATCAGGACCACGGCAGCTGCCCCATCATTCAGCGTGCTGGCGTTGGCCGCTGTTACGGTGCCTGAAAGCCACAGTAAGCACAGAGTCAACACAGTTGCGCACCGCGTCCCTGTACCCCAGAGTACATGTCTGGGATAGAGAACTTAGGAAAACATTCCTGCCCTCGGAGCGTGTGCAGAGCTGCCCAGACCTGGTGGTAGGGTTCAGCAGTTTTCTCAGCTCAGAAACACGCGTGATGGCCCTGGCTAAGTGCTGCTCAGCAGCTACTGTTCATATTTTCTTCCCAGCATCTAACTCTTGGCTTATGCAAAAAGAGCAGATATTTACTGTGTATTTTCCAAATCAATATCAAAATCAGATATTTCTTTGCTAGAATCACTTGACTTAAATGTCAGTGAATACTTAAAAACCCACTAAACAATTTAAACAAGAGGATTCTATAGTATGTAAATGACAGGGCTGTGGAGCTCTGGGGTTTGTTTTTGGTTTTGCTGAGATAGGATCTCTGTGTAGTCTAGGCTGGCCTCAAATTTGCGGTCTGTTGAGATTATAGATGTGTTCCTATGTCTAGCAAATTTTTTTGTTTGACTATTTTTTGTACTGGAAAATTAAATGCAAGGCTCCGTGCTTAGCAGGTGAGTGCTGTGTTTCTGAGCCATAGCCCCTGTCCAAGGAAGATGTACTTCTAAAAATGTCCATGAACCCACCCTGTAATAGACAGTGAGTGACATTATTTTAAATACACTCAAGCAATATAACTTTACAGAATATGTTGGGAAACAAAGAGGTATCTATTCCTATACCTAGAATTGAGGTCAGTTAGGAAATGGGAAAAACTTAATTTCAGACTATCACACCTGTATGCAGGCAACTTGAAAACTGAGCGTAGAACTTAGTGGTAGAATACTTGGCTGCCATGTAGACTCCACTACACGCCAAGCAAGTGCTAAAGATGAACCAGTGAAAAACGAAGCTAGCCACTTAGTCTTTAGGGAAGTTATACGGCACAAACTTTCAAGATGAACAGCATATGAAAAGGCTACTTTTGGTTTTTGTTTTGTCTTTTTTCAAACAAGGTCTTATGATGCAGTTCAGGCTGGCCTTGAGCTCACTTTGTAGCCCAGGCTGTTGTCTCAGACTTGCAATAACCCTCCTGCCTCAGCCTCCCCAGTGCCGAGATGACAAGTATGTGCTGCCACAGTGGGGGCAGAAACCTTAAATGACTCATCCCTCCTTTGCAGTTTACTTTTGTGTGTGTGTGTGTGGAACCGGGGATTGAACTCAGTCCAGCAAGCGCTTATTCTACTGAGCTATCTCCCCGGCCCTGCAGTTTGCATATTAAAAATACAAATTATTAAGCAAATGTAAATATACTTCGGATTAATATGGTTTGTCTAATATAATAAAAATATTTTAACATCTAGATGCCCCTAGAATAAAATCCTTAGAAATGCCCAAAATCAATATAGTATATAATTTGATTTGTTTTGCTACTAACCATTTTCTTTTTGGAAAACTGTCTTCAGCTTCGGAACTTTACTGAAATCAACACGCTTGTATTCTTCATCTTCTTTTACCACTACATCTGGTTTACCTAAAACAAAAGTATTTTAAGTAATCACTCAAGACAAAACAGTCACCAAGGTGTCTGGCAGTCAGCGACCCTCTTTCGATCCCTGCCTTAAACCGTCCTGAATGAATGCTGCTCGGGCAAAGCCGCTGTACCGTCCCTAGTACGTTAGTGTTCTAAAGACTGGCTTACTAGCAGTTAAGGAAATGTCCACCTCCTGCTCAGCCACACGCCCTTGTTGTTCTCTCAGCCCCCATCCAGGGCCCCGTACCCCACTCTGCTGATCCCACGTGTAGATGTCAGGCCAACGTCAGATAAAAATCTATAAGATTTTTCAAATTAAAGGCAAAGGAATAAATACTTGGGAACATTGCCCTTCTACCTTTTACTGCAATTGTGACCGGAATAATTTCGTTTCCGAATTTTCCAGCTTCCCATGCTGTTCTGCTCCTGGTGTAAGAGCTTATAGCGTAAGTATCCTGTTCATCTCTTGTGATGTTCAGCTTCTTTGCAGTATTCTCAGCACAGTTACCCTAATAAATGGGAAATTATTTTTAAACTACACAACTTTTAAATCAAAGGTTAGCAGTTAAAAAAATTTAGTTTTGTTTTTGGCAAAGCTGGGGATTGAACTCAGGCCCTTGCACTTGCCAGGGAAGTACTTATTCTGTTGAGCCATCTCCCTGGCCCCAAATTTAGCTTTTTAAAACTCTTTACATATGCTTCTTAAACACTTGCACTGTACCAGAAGTTTCTACTTCAGAAGCCAGAAATTTCCTTATGAAAGTATGGGGCGTGGCTTAGGGAGATAGCTCAGCGGTCTAAGTGCCTGCCTGGCAAGTGCAAGGAGCCAAGTTCAGTCACCAGTACTGCATGCCCTGCCAGTCAGGGAACCCCAGGAATGCTGTGCTGGCCCCAAGTGTGAGTGGCAGTGTACGCCAGTAATCCCAGTGCTGGGGAGGCTGAGACATGAGGATCCCTACAGTCTGAACTGCAAACAAGACCCTATATCAAACAAAAAGTTTTTTTAAAAAATATGGAGCAACCAGGAGTGGTACAATCCCAGCACTCAGGAGGCTGAGGCAGGAGGAGTGCCAAGAGTTTGAGGCCAGCCTAGGCTTCTGAGTGAGACTGTCAGAAACAAGAAAAAGGAAGAAAAAGTGTGAGGCAGCTTAGCAACCAAACCACCTCCCAACCTGAAGGCTACCTTGACGTTCACAGAACCCATGCTGTAATTCCGTCTCTGACCTCAGCCAGGCCCATGCCTGGTGGCGCCCCATTAAGAACCAGTGCTCACCATGTGAATCTTATTGTAGACATCAGTTAGCCCATCTTTCACTATCAGGTCTTCCAGCTTCACCCCTCCGTACGGCGTCGCGCCTCTGTTCATCACGTAGGGCACATTGGACATGCTCTCCATGCCCCCTGCCACCATCACGTCCTGCGCAGCAACACAAGGCCCCAGGTCAGAGCCGCAGACCCAGCAGATGCAGGGCACACCGCTGTCACCAAGTGAGGACTCAACATGAAGTTAATAACTAGGTTTCTCTCCGGATCCCCTCTACCAGCTAGCCCGGATGAAAGTACAAAATGTGTAGTGAAAACTAAGATTCAATTGATATCTGAAAATCTTTTATGTACCATCACCTGAAATTCTAACCCTTCATTTTACTGACACTGCTAACAGTAAATATCTTCTAAAAGATTATAAGCAGTCTCAGTTCTCGTATATAACCCTTCTGCTTCCATGATTTAAACTTCCCCAGACAGCTACTGTCTGATCTGACACGCGGCCTTTGCCTTCCACAAGAGCATCATCTGTGCGGTGCTCCTCTGGGCCAGCCTGGCTAGGATTCATCTCATCTCACACTTTAAAGAACGCTCAGCTTAGTATAAAAAGCCCTTACAATGTGCCTTCTCCCTTGCCAGTCCCACTGTCTGCCTCAGCCTCAGGTCCTCAAGAACTAGCGGAAACTTTACAGAGGCAACAGCGCTCACTCAGACATCACTGCCTCTGCTGGCTGACCAAGCCACCAGAACGTACAGTGCCTAAGCTCCGGCCGCCACGTAGCTCCTTGGTGCAGCACTTGCCTAGCACGCGTGAGCCCCTCATACCGCCCCGCGCCCCTCTCCTCCCATAAAGGAAAAGCCCCTACATTTTCTTTAAAACTAACCACCACCACTTAAGGCTTCCCTGAGTACTTCTCCACTTTCTCTTGGAAGTTTCCCAATTACCATACAGTGCCTCTGTTAACAGCATAACTCTCTGGTGGTTCTATTTATGTGCCAAACCCTCCTACTGGGAAAAGCTCCTTTGCAAAAGCTCTACTCCCAGTTTTTCCTTCTGTCATTTTTTTCCCTGGCCCTCCCTTTCTCCCTCCTCTCTCTCCCATTCCCCTTCTCCTTTGGGCTTTTTCTTCCCATTTCCCAAAGAATACTACACATTTTGGTCTTCATGTGTACATTTTCTCACACCAGAGAAACATTCTGCTATTGAAGCATGTATCTGATTGATTTCACTTAAGGGTATGACCTCAAGGTGCATCCCCTTCGCTAGACGCATCTGCAGCTTATCTGAATGGCAGAGTAGGGCTCTGTGTATTACACTTCTTTACTCACCAGCTGATATGCATATGGGCTGTTTCCAAGATTTGGCCATTAGCAACTGCCACTATAAACATGAGTGTGCAGTATGTCACTGTGGAATGTTTTTAACTTTCAGGAAAATACCTAAACAGGATAGCCGGGTCAAATGGAAGCTCCAATCCTAGCTTTTTGTGGAATCTCCACACTGACTTCCTCAGTGGTTGCACCAGTCTGCACTCCTGCCAACAGTGCAGAAGGGTTCCTTTCTCCCCACAGCCCCGCCAGCATTTGTTACTGGTTGACATCTCAAAAATATCCATTGTTTGTGGAGATAGAATCTCAGTGTCCTTTTAATTTGCATCTCTCAAATGACCAGTGATGATGAGCATTTTTTCGTATGTTTATTTGCCATTTCATCTGAGAAGTGTGTATTCATTTCAAATGCCCAGTTTTGGACTGAGTCTTTAGTTCTTACTATATTCTAGACAGTATTCCTTTGTGGAGCACCGTGCAAAAATGTTTTCCCACAGTATGGGTTCTCTCTTCACTCCTTTGTTTTTGTTTTTGAGGGGGTGGAACCAGGGGATTGAACTCAGACCCTTGCGCTTGCCAAGGAAGCACTTGTTCTACTGAGCTATCTCCCCGGCCCTCATTGAACTCAGGATCCCTTCGCTTGCGAGGCAGGCACTTCTTCTACTGAACTATCTTTCTGGCCCTGTTGCTTTGCTTTTTAATAAGATGAGACCCCAGTTGTTGATTCTTTGTGAGAGTTCCTGTGTGATCAGGGTTTTGTTCGTAAAGTCTCTGCCTATACAGATGTCTTCAAGTTCTACCTATTCTATCAGCAGACTTAGTGTGTGTTTTAATATTTAGTTCTTTGATCCATTTCAATTTTAGTTTAGTGCATGTGAAGCAATATGGGTCTAGTTTTAATATTCAGCATGTGGAAAGCCAGTGTTTGCAGTGCCATTCACTGAAGAGGCTGGTGGTTCTTGTGAAGGGTCTGCTAACGCCTGATGTCAGTGATTAGCATCAGATAGGCTCACATAAATTTTGCAGGTATAACTTTTTTGGACAGTATCTGCAAAATGTCAACTCTTTAAAATCCTTTCATTTCTTTTAAGAGCTTTTTCAAAAAGACTTGCACATAAGTGGATCTTTAATATGTGCCACTCTATTGCTAGTGAGTGTTACACGGTAGATACTCAGTTAAAAGGGGCAAAAGTAGGACATGAACTAGCTCCACACTTTCTCCTTATACCCACTATACTATGGTCAGTGGAGCTGGTGACAGAGAAAGAGAGAACTTCACCAGCACTGAAAATGAACGAGTGGAGACGACGCAGATGCTCATTTAATAGGGACCTACAAATATACTGTGTATTCCGTTCAAATAAAATGCTGTCCATGGGTGCTAGCAGACCGACATGAAGTGACACACAGAGCCAACTTGCCCCACACTGCTCTAAAAGCACTTTACATCTTCTACACCACTTAAAGTTGTAGACACTTCGCAACTGACTTTTGTCTTGGCAGTGTTACAAGGACATGTGAGATAAAAACAAAGTCTAGAATGACAATCAGGGCATTGTAGGAACTATGAATTAGTCATCCATCCTGGGCTCTGCCAATGATCAGATTCTCAGGGTCAGCTCTTACCTCCTTTCTGATAAAAACCCTTAGCTGGGCATAATGTACATGTCTGTAAACCCAGCGGTTGGCAGGCTAAGGCAGAAGGATCACTGTATTTAGTATAGAATCTCACTATACAGATCAGTACTCGTGTAATCCTCCTGTTTTCAGCCTCCCAAGCAGTGGGATTACAGGCATGTGCCACCACGCCCAGTCTCAACTGTGTCTCAGCACACCCTGGGGATCGAACCCCAGTCCCCATGCCTGCCTAAGCAGGCGCTTTAGTCCGCTGAACTATCTGGCCGGCCCTAGGAGGATCACTGTGAATCAAGGTCAGCCCAAGCCACAAAATGAGGATTTATCTCAGAAAAGCAAAACAAACGCTCATTCTGGAAAAATCTGAATTTAATATTCATTTTATTTTTTGAATTACCTAATCTCAAAGTAAAACTTACCTGAAGCCTCACTCCCAGACTAAAACACCTCAGCTGAACAAGGCACTGCCCCCAGCACTCAGACCTATGCTCCAGTGGAAGTGAATCCAGGTAATTCCGAGTGCTGGAAATAACACAGCAACTTACAAGAATCTCATTTCAAGAGCACATGTGCATAATTTATAATGCCTTTTAAGACAAAATACTATAATTAATATATAAGGTGATGCTCTTACCTGATGTCCACACATAAGACTCTGAGAGGCCATCATGATGGCTTTCATTCCTGAAGCGCAGACTTTGTTCACAGTGGTGCACGGGGTAGAGATAGGTAACCCTAAAAGCAACACATGTGACACTTCAGAAACAGAAACTCTTCAGGCACAGCTGCAAAATTCAAATACAGCATATTATGATAATCTTCAAATTTTTTTCTGCCAATATCTATGAATATCTAATATTTTATTTAAACTAGAATGACCTCCATGTCATTTTTAACATTTTAGGTATAAAGACAAAAACATATTCCTAGTACCTGCGCCCAAGACCGCTTGCCTTGTAGGGGCCTGTCCCGAGCCTCCTTGTAGCACATTCCCCATGTACGCCTCCTTCACTTCTTCCTTTGGAATCCCTTTTCAAAACACCAGAAAAGCAGTTCCATGTTTTATTCAATTTAGTACTCAGTGATTACCTATTAAATAGAACATTACATAGCAGGAATGGTTTTTGTCAGTTTTATGTTTGATTCCTAACTATAGTGCAAAGACTTTTACAAAGGAGTTCAGAAATGCAGGCATGATGCCATTTCTAGGTTGTGTACACACTAAGTACAAAATAAACAGGGGTTCCCGGAGTCATTCGCCCCTGAACACAAAAAGCAAAGCACCTACTGACCTGCCTTTTCAATGGCTCCCTGAATTGCAATGGAACCAAGCTGAGTGGCTGGCAAGGATGAAAGGCTGCCCAGAAAGGATCCAATGGGCGTTCTTGTGGCACTTACTATAACCACTTCCTGGCCAGACAGAAGACAGCAAAAATTACTACAGGTATTTCATACATGTTACTTTCATTAAATATTCACATATGACATCAGAGGCTATTTTTGTGAATGAGAACTTACAAAGATTAAAATAATCAGATCAGCTGAAAACATTACTTCAGTGCTAGCACTTTATAATGTAAGACTTAATAAAACCTAGAAAAAACCATAAAAATGAACATGAAGAGCCTTCCAAGTTCTCCACAGGAATTTTGACACCAGTACTTTTAAAGTTTCAATTCTAGGGGCCAGGGAGATGGCTCAGTAGAATAAGCGCTTCCCTGGCAAGCACAAGGGCCTGAGTTCAATCCCT